TGACACCCCCCCCCCTTGGTTTTTTCTACAATACGGGGAGGGCGAGATAAAAGTCCAATAAAATAAATAAATAAATAAATCATAAACATTCCTCTGCAGATAAAGTTGCCTTGTCTGTGGTGCTGTTTGTATGCCCTAATTTTTGATTTGTAGCTTGAGGCACGTTCAGTGATAATGTGTGTTGGATGGGCAGTAGCAGATTAAAAGTTAAGAACCATTGCCCCGGTCTCTCTCACAGGGCTGTTACAGAGATAAAATTCAATGTCATCCCTTAAACCTACCTTGAGCTACTTCTAAATGCAGCATGGCGTCCTTCTTTGGTTCTGGAACCCTGACAAAAGACACCCCACGAAGGGCAATGAACAAATATTTATTGCCATGGGAGAACAGTCTGAAAAAAATGTATTTTAAAAAACCTTACAAAAGCAAACTCAAACTTTACCAAATAAATACAGGTCATCTCCTATACACACACACACATATATATATACACATTCACTCACACACACACAAAGATAATTAGACCTTGAGCAATCGGGATTTACAAAAGGCTTCGAGCCCAAGGATCTTAAGTGCCCAAACTCAACTGGAACCAGAGGGAGCAACTGGCCACCGACAGTGAAGTCAAAAAAACAAAGTCTTGAAAGTGGGAGAAGTCCGAGGGGGCCAAGGCTACCTTGGGGATCGCTGGATTCCCAACATGTCGTCCACCCTTGAAACGTGACTGCTGGTTCCCCTGATCGAAGCCCCCACCGTCCTCCCCTGGCCAGTTGGTTTTCCCTTCCAGGAAGGGGAAGCACACAGTATGGGAAAGACAGTTCGATCTTGTTGCTTTCAAAGGGTGACTTCATCCGGGATCTGCGGCAGCAGCTGATTTTTAAGGCTCAGCTGCGTCCCTGACGCTCCGACTGCAGATCCTCATCGTCACGCCTAGCATGACTTCGAAAGAAGAACAGACAAGGAGGGGAATCCGAGGTCCACCCTCTCTTTTTTCCCCCCCGGACTGATTTAAGCCTGATTTCGTTCAAAACCATGCATCAAAGCACAGGCTGGCGTCTTCAGAAGTGGAGCGGCTGAGAGAAGCCAAGCAAAGCTATCCCCCAGTCTGAGCACGCGCTCGAACCGTTCTTTCCCTTCTCCCCACCTCTTCCCTTCGACTCCAAAATGCCCAGACAGGAGGTACAACAACCAGCCCCATCCTCCTAGGTCACGGCTCTTCCAGGTCCGCTGAGAGCCGTCCATGAGACAGGCCAGAGGTCACTGGTCACTCGCTCTGTGCCTGGTAGGCCACAGTGGCGGCAGCCTGGCTCTGGGATCCCTGCACCTTCCCATTCACCACCAGCAGCAGCGGGGTCTCCACACGGATGCTCGAGAAAGTGAAACTCTGGAAAAGGAAAAAGAGAGGGGGGGGAGAGACTGAATTTTCTACCCAATCAAACTAGGACTTGCTTCCCTGTGAATCGTAACAATTACTGTATTGTGAAACAGGAATGGGACTTCTGTGTTTTTGGACAACTGAAAGGAAGTCGGAAAAGCACCACTAAAATGAAGGAGGACAAGGAGGACGAAGAGGAAGAAGAGGAGGAGGAGGAAGAGGAGGAGGAAGAAGAGGAGGAAGAAGAGGAGGAGGAAGAAGAGGAGGAAGAAGAGGAGGAGGAAGAAGAGGAAGAGGAAGAAGAGGAGGAGGAGATTGGATTTATATCCCGCCCTTCACTACCCAAAGGTGTCTCAGACCAGTTTACAAACTCCTTTCCCTTCCCCTCCCCACAACAGACACCCTGGTGAGGTAGGCGGGGCTGAAAGAGCTCTGACAGAAACTGCTCTTTTTTCAAGAACAGCTCTTATCAGAGCTACAGCTTGCCCAAGGTCATCCAGCCAGGTACAAGTGGAGGAGTGGGGAATCAGACATGGTTCTCCCAGATTAGAGTCCGCGCACTTAACCACGATACCAAACTGGAGAAG